CCAGGCAGAGAGCTGTGGCAGCCTGGGTACCACCCCCCCCACACACATACACGCGCACACACACACACACACACACACACACACACACACACACAGGGTTCCCTGTTGCCCAGCTCCAGCATGGGGAGACCCTGTGCACCTCGATGGTCATGAAGCACCTAGGACATGATGGGAGCCCCAAACCCCAGCCCTGTGGGCATCCCTGGACACGCAGCACTTCTTCAATGGGACAGATTGAGGAAGGCTGGCTGAGGTAGACACGCATGCAAAGCCAAGAGATGGGGCTGGGATGAGATGAGATAGCGCACATATGCATGACCCATCCCCGGCACCACACACACACACACACACACACACAAACACACACACACACTCACACACACATACATACTCTGTGTTGAAGAGATAGCTCAATGGTCAAGAGCACAAACAGGAGGCCCAGGTCCGAGTCCCGGCACGGCAGGGAACCCCCAGCACTGAGTCAAGGGTAGACGCCAAGCACCTCCAGGTGGGGGTCCAAAGTAAAAAGGAACCAGAGAGCTCGTGCAAAGGGCAGGGCGCTTGCCTGGCAGGTGGCCACCCTGCCCTGGTCCCTGCCACCTTATTTGGTTCCCAGAAAAAAAATCGGCACCGCTGTCCCTTGAGTACAGAGGCCGGGCACCAAGCATCACCCAAAGAGACACTGCCGAGACCCCACCCTCCAGGGCATGAAACAGGCGACCCCCCCCCACCCCACTCCTCACCCCACCACCCATCCCTGCCTCACCCACCCCCATGCACACGCGGGCTCCAGAGCGCAGCCAAAGAACAAGGGAGCGGCCCCAAGGTCTAGAAACCAGAACCAAGACCACAAGCCCATGCACTGCTTGCTCATGCGCGGGGCTCACAGGGACCAGAGTGCGTCCGGCCAGGAGCCCGTGGGTGGGTGACAGTCCACACGGGCTGATTACCTGATCTCCTAGCCAGAGAAGAGAGGAAAGCAGCTAGGAAGGAGAGAAGTTGGGAAGGGAGAAAGAGAAACTGCCAGACACAGGAAGAGCAGCCTGGCACCTGGAGGAGAGGCAGAAAGACCATTAAAAGCGCACCTCAAAACCCAACGAGGTAGACTCATGCAAGGGCAGAGGGGTGTGAACCACCACACCCCACCACTGGCCCCCAGGATGAACCATCCAGAAAAGCAGCTGAAGCGCTGGAGACACAGTACAATGGGGTTGGGCACCTGCCTTGCATGTACCTGACCCAGGTTCAGATTCTGGCAGCTCCGACCGTCCCCTGAGCACCGCCAGGAATGAGCCCTGAGTTTGGGTTTCAACCAAATTCAAAAAGAAAATTTTTTTGAAAAAAAAGACCCAAAAGGAGAGTACCTTATGAAGGGAGAAGGAAAGCCCTGCGTGGAAGATAAAATTTCTATTTGGTTCACTCTTTATGCAAAGCTGGGATGTTCTATTACTTAAAAAAAAAATTCCAGGGGCCAGAACACTAGTACAGCGAGAAGAGCATACTGCCTGGCATGGGGCCAACCCAGGTTCAATCCGCGGCATCCCATATGGACCCCGAGCACAGATAGGAGTCATCTCTGAGGGTAGAGCCCAGTGCAACCCCTGAGCACCACTGTGTGTGGCCCCAAAACAAAACAAGCAAGCAGAAAAGATGAAAAAATACCTCACAAAAATTAAACAGAGGGGCTGGAGCGATAGCACAGTGGGTAGGGCGTTTGCCTTGCACGCGGCTGACCCAAGTTTGATTCCCAGCATCCCATATGGTCCCCCAAGCACCGCCAGGAGTAATTTCTGAGCACAGAGCCAGGAGGAACTCCTGAGCATCGCAGGGTGTGACCCAAAAAGCCGAAAAAAAAATTAAACAGAAATTTTTAACATCATCAAAAAGCATGACCAATGGCATATGGTCTTGAAATGTAATATGCCAGACACAAGTTCATTGGGAATCCCACGGAAATGGCGGGGGTTCTCACAGAACTGTCCCTCGGGGATTCTGAGGGCAGAGGGCGGCCTCAGGGGGTTCACTCGTTTAGAATGTGACTCTTGCTCCGGCCTGCACGTCCAGCCACTGAACCTGACCCCTTTAACAAGCTCTCCCGAGAATCCTTCTCGGTGTCAGACTCTGAAAGTCACCCTGCTACATACATACAGAGGCGACTTCCTAAAGAGCTCAGCAAGCCTGGCGACCAAAGGTGGACCAGGAGGCAGGATGCTGTGTCTGGGGCCAACCTCGGCCCAGGGCAGCAGAGGGAAAGAAAAGAACCAGGGGACCTAGGAGGTTCCTTCCCTGCCTCCTGCTTTTCTAGTTAAAAGCACGTTCTGTGAGAAGGTCAGATGAGAGAAGCACATATATAGGCTGTCCACGTGTCCACTCTCAGGACACTGGACAAAAGGCCAAGGCGGGGAAAAGTCCAACAGGTTTTCATGAAATCCAGAGAGACAGAGGCATGGAGAGAGAGAGAGAGAGAGAGAGAGAGAGAGAGAGAGAGAGAGAGACAGACAGACAGACAGACAGACAGACAGACAGCCATGCACGGCTACAGAAAGAGACAGAGACAGACACAGAGCCACAAGAGAGTACAGGAGAGGCTAAACACGCACAAGGGGAGACTAGAACACTTACCCGAAAGGAGAATTCGAGGTTTTCTCCGCCCCAAACTTCCATTCCTGTATCATAAGACCCCAGATACTGAAAATATTTCTTACTCACAGCAAACAGCCCACCAGCCATTGTCGGGGACCTGGAAGAGTTGCAACACATGCGTCTCAGTGCCAGCCGCAGGAACCCTTACCCAGGCCTGATCTGCCTTCATCAGTCTGGGAGCACTGGTGGTGGGGGGGCTCTGCTGGGAGTCCTAGCTGGGGAAGCTCCCAGACCCCTCCAAATAATCACAGAACTGCGTGTGATGCATGTGCTCTCGAGGGGTCAAGGGCAGGGACAGCTGTTTCCAGGGAGGAGAGGGTACAGGTCCGGGGCGTGTCCAGTACAGAGGAATGAACGGTGCTGGGAAGGCCTCAGCATGGGCAAAGTCTAAGCATGAGAGGACCCCGGCAGCTGCAGATGGACCCGGAGAGAGGGCGGAGAGAGCACATGGCTGGGAGGGTGGCGGGGTGGGCGGTGGTGGTGGTCTCACAGCAGAGCCCAGGCACTCACAGATGTAGCTGGGGGCTGCTGGAGGCCATGAAAGATGATTCTAGCACATTTTCCTGAAGCCCTCGATTCCGCCAACCCCACTGAGCAGGCATGGCATCTTCCCCGGCCCCCAGAGGTGGCTCAGGTCGAAAGCTGGAAGGGAAGCACCCCAGAGTGCAGATGTGGGTGTGGGAAACTGGTGGCAGCCGGGTCCCTGTGGTGGCACTGGGAGTCCTCCCAGCACTGCAGGCTCAGAGTACACGGGGAAAGGTCAGTGGGACTCCTTGGTGGGGGATGGAAGAACAGGAGGGAGGGAAGACCAAGGAAGGGAGAGAAGAGAGAGAAAAGGGAGGGAGAGAAGGATGGAGGGAGAGAGAGAGGGAGGCAGAGAGAGACGGAGGAAGGAAGGAAGGAAGGAAGGAAGGAGGGACAGAAGGAGGGAGGGAAAGAAGGAAGGAAGGAAGGAAGGAAGGAAGGAAGGAAGGAGGGACAGAAGGAGGGAGGGAAAGAAGGAAGGAAGGAAGGAAGGAAGGAGGGAGGGAAAGAAAAAAGGGAGGGAGTGAGGGAGGGAGGGAGGGAAGGAAGGAAGGAAGGAAGGAAGGAAGGAAGGAAGGAAGGAAGGAGTGGGGGAGGGAAGTAGGGAAAAGGGAGGGAGGGAGGGAGGGAGGGGTGTCAGCATGAGAGCACTTTCACATGGCTTTAGGGTATAAGATTAGGGAACAGGGTGACTGAAACACGCAAGAAAGCTGAGATGATGTGTGGAGTTCATGCACAATTCAATCAGCTAATCAGTGGCTGAATAAATAGCAGTACTCCTACATTAAAAAAAAAAACTGAGATGAGACTTTGGGAGGGGCAGGCAACTGACCATGAAGCTGCTGCATTTGTCCATGTGTGTGGGTGTGTGCACATGTCTTCATATGTGTGCACTGGGGGAGGGGTTGGAGGGAGGGAGTATGTCTCCACATCATAGGCTGCATCTATGACCTGACACATGATCCCTCCTCCTCTGCCTCAGTCTCTAAATCTGCTGTGTGAGGGGCAATGCCAGCGGCCCCCCAGTGGCCACTCCAGCAATCCGGGTGTCACCCTCAATCCGTCCTTTTCCCCAGATGTCAATCAGGTTCTCCAAATCCCCCCACCGCCCCGGAGGTCCTCCCACCCCCCAGTCTCAGCCTCCGTCTTCTCCTGCGCCCGCATTTCTGACGGGGAAGTCTGCAGAGCCTCCTAACACATGCCTGGTCCCTGCACCCCATTCTGTGCCCACCAGCTCCCTCACCACGAGGCACCAGGAGTAATTCCTGAGTGCAGAGCCAGGAGTAACCCCGAGCCTCAGCAAGTGTGGCCCGAAAACTAAGCCAAACAAATGAAACAGAACGCGAGCAGCCGGGCTCAGACCCAGGCTCACCCACTGACCAACGCTGGCTCTCGGCCGCCCTCACCCTGCACCCTCACCCATCCCCTAACTGGCTTCAGTCCCACAGAGGCCTGCCACTAAGTGCTCAGAGTCGTCACCATGGAGTCGCCACCTGACCCAGAACCCCACGCCCACGTGGACAGCCGGAAGTGGCAGCCAGCCACCTCGGGCCCTGGAGACTGGCACCAGTCCAGGGGGCAGGGCACCTGTGATATCAGTCCTCCCCGGGGCATGGCACACAACTCCTGAAAGGCGGACACACCCACCGGAGGTGAAGGGGCCAACAAAACCGGCCACATTGACACAAGGCAGAATTATGGGTTCCCAAGGCAAACATCTCGGGACCGGCAAGAAGGCAAACGCGAAGGGACAAAGCGTGGTGGCCTCATTCACGTGAGGCGTCTGGAAGGGGGAAAGTTTTTGTGGGGGTGTGTTAGAGGCCATGGAGCCGTTAGGGGCTGGGGTTGACACACACCGCCTGACGGTTGGAGAGATTCTGCGAGGTCGAGGGAAAAGCGCGCTTGAGTCTCCCAAGTTATATATTTAAGAACGGTCAGAGCAGTACATTTTAGGATACATACTTCACCCTATTTTTATTTATCTTGTTTTGGCTTTGGCTTTGGGACCACACCCGGCAATGCTCGGGAGCAACTTCTGGCTCTGCACTCAGGAATCACTCCTGGCGGTGCTCGGGAAACCATAACAGGGTGCCTGGGGGATCGAACCCAGGGCAAACTCCTGCAAGGCAAGCGCCCTACCCACTGAACTATCTCTCCAGCCCCCTCACCTTTGTTTTTAAATAAACAAAATAGGCCAATGAATATGAACCCCACACTTAGAGCGGGGTGGGTGTAGAGTAAAAAAATAATCAGCAGATGCTTTAGAACAAAACCAGGTGGGGCCCCAGCGAAGCATCCGTGCCCTCCCCCGGGGCGTCTGCTGCAGTTGGTGGGGGGGGTTACGCTCCCAGCCAGTCCTGACCTGATGACATCGATGGGGGACCGCATCCGCTTCCGCTCCCGCTCAGGGACCACGTGCCACGTGAACAACAGCCACCAGTCAAAGCCACCACTCTGAGGCTCTCCGGAGTTGCCCAGGTACTCAAAAGTGTTCCAGTCAATCACGTCGATCACGGGGCACACCACCGCCGTCTCCTCCTCCCCGATCCTGCAGTGACCACACACACACACACACACACACACACACACACACACACACACACCACCCAGATATGGCCAGGACCGGAGTGACCGGGAACACCCGCGCCCCTTCCAAGCCATGCTCGCTCCCACTGAGGCCCAGTGTGTGCCCTCAGGTCCCCTGCTTCTGGACCCTGCATGGCATCGGTCCCCAATGCCACCCTCCAGCCTGGGATTCAGAGGGAAAGCGAGACACGATGATGGCTCTGCTCTCAGCCCCTGGCACTGGCCTGGGCCCCTGGGAGTCCAGCTGCCGGGACCCTCTTTGAAGCTGGGGAAGAGAAAGAAGCCATGAAGGGAGCCAGAGTGGGTGAGGACAGGGATGGGGAGGGCAGAGAGCAGCAAGGTGAGGCTGGGGGCCGGATGATGGACACCGACACCTGGGAGAGGAGACAGTGGGTGCATGTGCTTCCAGAGGCCAGCTGCGCAGACCCTGAACCCCCCCGCATCCTTGTCCACGCCACATGGGGGCACAGCCCACCTGGAGAAGTCTGGGGGTGGCCTACAACAGTGATGCAGCATCAGGAGGGAGGAAGTGGAGGGAGTAAAGTGGGTCTGGGGGAAGGGCAGCCTGGAGTGGTTCCCCTCCCCCCTGCATTTAAAACCCTTTCAAAGAATGATACTTAAAAGCATAGTTTAAGACTACAGGGGTAAGAAGATAAAAATAACCCAGGCGAGGGCCATCTGCTTCCTGTCCATGATTCTGCTCATGGTTTCCTAGTGACGCTAAGGAAGGTGGACGCCAGAGACACAGGACCCCAGGGAAGGTGCCTGCCCGACAGGTGGCTGCCCTGGTTCAATCCCCGGGACCCCATGTGGTCCCCTGAACACCACCAGGAGTGATCCCTGAGCAGAGCCAAGAGTAAGCCCTGAGCACTCACGGGTAAGCCCCTTCACACACACAACTCCCCCCCCCAAAAAATACAGGGGCTGGAGCCATAACACAGTGGGTAGGGCTTTTGCCTTCCACGGGGCTGACCCGGGTTTGATTCCCAGCAGCCCATATAATCCCCTGAGCACCACCAGGAATAATTCCTAAGTGCATGAGCCAGGAGTGACCCCCTGTGCATTGCCGGGTGCGACCCATAAAAGCAAAAAATAAATAATAAATAAATACATAAGAGAAATTACTGTGAATCACCATTTCTGTGGGTCCCTTCAGGCTTGAGGAGCCCCAGGCAACACAGGTACTGGATGACCTGGGAAAGTCAGCCCAGCATGAAGGAAAGAAGACCAAAATGTGCTGCCTAGGGCTGTGATCTGATAAGATCCACACCATCCTGTTCTTGGCCTCTCTGCCCACGGCAGCAGTTTTCGACTCAGGCACCTGACCAGCGGCAGTAAAAGCAACTCCCCTGCACCAGTAAGCCGTGGGTACAGCAGCTCCTGATGCCCTCGAAGGCTCCCAGCCCAGGGTCCCTGATCATGTGACCAGGGATGGAGCCGTGGCCTGAGACTGGGGGACGGGGCAGCCAGGCCGAGCCCGAGACCCATGGAGCTGGGTCTCCCGTGTTCCCACTGGGCACCGCCCACGCAACTCTGCAGCAGTGGCTCCAGCCAGCCCTCGTGGCACTCGCAGTGGCAGTCCAGGAAGGTGAGGACGTCGCCCTTGGCCCCCGAAGCCCCGAGCAACAGGGCGCGCACCAGGCCCTCCCTCTTGGTGGCGCGGATGAGGCGCACCTTGGGCAGGTGGGCCAGCTCGGCTTCCAGGCGCTCCTTCAGGTGCTCTGGGGAGGAGAATGGGGCAGCCGGCTCACTCCCGCCCTGCCCGGGCAAGGGAAGGCTGGGATGGAGAACTCTAGAACAACCAGCAACGTTCCCACGTGCCCCCCTTGGACCCAGACCCCCAGGTCTCAGGACTGTCAGGACTTGGTGCCCAGCTGGCTCTATCGGCATCGCCTCACGCTCACCTGCCCTGCACTCTGTCATGGGCAACGCTGTCATGGGCAACGCTGAATGACCCCGAATACTCTTCCCACGATTTCCAGCCGAGCACATGGCCACCACCCCAAAGACATCAGTCACCCAGGTTAAGATGTGTGATCCCCAACGCCCCACCTGGTCCTCTGAGCACACCAGGAGTGAGCCCTGAGAACAGTGCCAGGAGCAAGCCCGGAGAACCGCCCAGCAGGCCCCAGAACAAACAAGCGAGACTACAGTCCTGAGCGTGCCCTGCAGCCAGGTGTGGCCAGGTGACTGTTCTTCTGCAGGGTGGGAGGTGAGACCCCTACTAGGTGCTGCCCGAGGCCCCTGGACACCCTTCAGGACAGGTGGGAGTGAGAGAGAGAGGGGAGGGGCCAGGCTGGGGCAGCCCAGGGAGGACAGCACCCCAAAGAAGGCGAGTGTTCACCCCTGCCCCCACCCCTGGCCCCCACACCTGCCTCCACACCTGCCCCCACACCCTCCCTCACAGTTGGCCCCCAACACCTCTCCCCCACCTCTGTCCCCAAGACCTCTCTCTCACACCCACCCCCCAACACCTGCCCTCTACACCTGTTTCCCCATGCCTATAGCCCATACCTAACCCCAACACCTGTCCCCCACACCTGCTCCCACACCTGCCCTCTACAGCCATACCCCAACTGCACGGAGACGTTTCCTGTTGTCTCCTGTAAATCACTGTTATCTAGAGCCTCACAGAGAACAGCCCAGCACAGCCTTCAATCAGAACCCGTCCACAGCGAGAACCAGACAGAGCTCAGAGGCAAGAGCAGGGGAGGGGAGGATGGGGGTCAAGGGAGGGCGGGGTGGGGGGAGGGGAGGTCAGGGCAGGGTAGAGGGGAGGCCAGGTACCTCTATCGCTGAAATCATCGACCAGGATGACCTCCTCCAGCAGGATGTCTGGGGACATCTCGAGGACACTGTAAACGGTGCGAAGGAGGGTTGACCAAGCTTCGTTATAAAACGCGATGATCACGGACGTCGTTGGCAGACTTTCATAATTGTACTTCTGCTCTCTGCACCTGCAGAAGCAACACATCCTCAGGGACGGGGAACACCCGGCACAGGGGCATCCCAGGCCTGGCACGGTGCTTCGAAGGACCTCTGAAGGGAACGTCAATCATGGTTGAGACCTGCCATAGAATTTGGTCGCATCTTCTAGAAATGCTTTGCCCTGGAGCCTCCTGGAAGCCTCGGTAGCTCCCAAGAAAGGTTGTACAACGACACCCAAAAAGCCTGAAGTCACTCTGGTAAGGGCAGGCTGGGTCACCCACGAAGTCGTACTGTTGACATGGCCTCCAGGGACAGATGGGCCAATGATGAACCTGGCTCAGATCCAATGCTACAGGGCCATCCCTGGGCTGGGATGGGATCCTCCAGAGCCAAACTTGATGGTGCCCAGGGGGCAGGCAGTGTCCAGGAAGGCACTTGGGTCTTTTCACACGGTCCCCTGACCCTGAGCTCTCTCCCTGCTCTGAGGTTGTGTATTTAAGCTGGGCAGCAACGCTCACAGTTGTGCCACCCAAAACCTAGGCTGTCTCCAAAGACAGGAAGACGGTTCCATCCTTAGGCTGAGCAGGTTTCACCTTTGTCCACTCCCACTTCAACCCCACTGCCCAGCTTCTACTCAGCTCTCTCCTCCTCTGCCTGGCACCCTCCCAGCCCTCCTTCCAGAACCACCTGGAAAAAGCCCTGTGTGGAGAACACCTGTCTGGGGTGGCCGCTCCCTCCGGCCGTCGCCCGTTCCTGCATACCAAAAACTCATGTCCCCTCCACTCATCCCCTCCTCCCATGGCCCACGTCTCCTCACAGACATGTTTGACTCATGCGAGGCTTGGGGCTGGGGCACAGGAATGCTAGGGACACTGGTGGACACCACGGGGCAGCCTTGTGGGGAGAGGAGGTTCGGGAACACGTATGTCTGGCTGAGAATCAAATCCATCTCTGATGGTGGGGTACAGGGTCACTGTGGGCTTGTGCTGTCTGGGGAGCCTGTGGGCATTGAAGGGTTCAACACTGGGGTGAGGCTCTGGGCAGAGAAATTCCATCCAGTCCTTGAGAGGTTTGGGAAATACCTGGAGGTTTGCAGATCCTTTACCTGAGGCATGATCTGGTCACTAGGGGGCCTGGCACCCAGGAAGCATTGGGGGCAAGGTTGGGGCTCTTCCCAGTGGACACTGCAGAGGGGGTGTAGACACAACAGGCACCATGGGCATGGGCATGACATGTCAGGTTCTGATCCATGGTGAGACCCCACAGGACAGCTCATGCTTCATCAAGAAGTATGAGCCGTTCCCTGGCAGGACCCGCCACACCCAATGCCACACACCCACACAGGCTGGGATACATCCATTTGTAGAAACAATCTTGGAAACAGGACAGTGGCTGTCAGAGAGAATGATTTAGCCCTCTCCCCTGTCTCTCCTCTGCCACCAATTCATGATCCCCTAAACCGTCCCAGGTAGTGCCTAGAACTCAGTTGCTGACTGTTCCAGCCTCCATCCTTTTCAGGACTTCCTTTGCCAGAATAGAAAAAGTGCACTGGAGGAGGGGGAGCTCTCGGCTCAGACTTTTGCTTGGTCTGTAGCCCATGATTCTGTCTGCCAATCCTAAGGGGAGGGAACCAAGCAGGCAACAAGAGCCAGAAGCGAAATACTAGGCAGGACCTCTGAGAGACCCACTCTAGGAGGTGGACAAGATGGATGGGTCAGGAATCACCAAATTTGACAAGAATCAAATGTGAGGTTTGCTCTGACAAAATGGTGCCCAAAACCAAATGGCAACAGGCTGAGTGGACAGCAACATTCCTGGAGTCAGAGATCACCTTATCCCACGTGAGGAAGACAAGACTTATCGCCCACCTGGTGAAAGGAAGCCACCAGGCTTCATTCCAGGTTCCTTACCATTGACCCACGAACAGATGACTAGGACCAGACCAAGACAACTTCAAAGCCCCCTTCATCTAACCCAGGGCGCGGGTGTACCATTGCCTCACCTGAGGTTCGGAGAGTCCGCCCGGGAGCGCCCCCAGTAAGTTCCTCCTATTTCCTTAACTTTATTTATATGTCTCTGTCCCTCTGTACGACCCAGATGGGGTTCCCAAATCTCTCACCGAGGAAGAGAGTGAGAGCAGTTTGCCCGAGCAGGGATGGAAGAGGCTCACGGGAACGCTCAAACAATGGAGCTTAGAAACTGGAGTCACCACTGTGGGAGCACCTGAGAGCAGTAGGCACCAATGTATGTTAGATGAAAGCTGTTACCACAGAATTGAGGTAGCCTGCAAACAACCTACATTATTATGCTGTGACCTGCTAATGCCCGTTTGGGGGTAGCTGGATAGAGCCTGCACACATGGAATACACTGGGATGCTTCCGGCAAACTCTTGGGTGCCACCTGTGTCTGGGTGAGACTCTGTAAGATTCTCAGAGAAAAAACTCCCAAGACAGTCGTTCAATGGGAGAACAGCTCTCCCCACTGGCAAGGGGTGAGAGGGGTCAAGCTGCTGATCCCCACAGTCTCCCAGCTCCCCAAACCTCAAGGCAAACATGGACTTGGGGTTTCCAGAGCCAAGGGACCCAGAGGCCGGACACGGGGAGCTAAGCCCAGAGCCCCAGTAGAGGCTGCGAGAGGGTGTGCAGGACATGTGTGAGGTGTGCAGAACCGTGAGAGTGAATGGGCGGCCCCAGGCCCATGGTGCAGGTAGAGGGGCAGGGCTATGAACTGGGCACTGAGGGGTAAACCAGGAGCTGCCTTTGCCTGGCCTGGCCAGCCTTACCAGGAGTGTGACTCCCAGTAGCAGTGTGACTGGCAGGAAGGGGCATGGCTGACCAAATTCCTGCAAATGACTAGAACAGGATGACTCTTCCTTCTGAGGCTTTGCCATCTGGTCTGACACATGGATCCGGACACAGTTCTTGTCACCAGTAGCGTGTCACTCAGCCAAGGCTGTCCCACCAGGTCCAGGCGTGCAGGAACAAAGAGGAGTCGGGGCCTGGTTCTCTATTACACGGGGTCTGAAGGTGCTGTGATGGTGGCAATGGGACTTGTATTAGGGAACCTGATGGTCCACACAGAAGTGGGGCGCTATTATCAGGGATCAGCTCTGTACAGCTCGGGGATACTAGAAACATGTTCCATCTCACAGCCCCATCCTGCTCCACTGATAACACACTGTCTTCCTGCTGGGGTGGGTGCCATCCAGGGGGAGCCTGGCTGAGGGGACAGCACCTTGGACCCACCTGCTGCAGGAGCACTTTCAAGTGCTCATCCTGAGAAACCTGATGTGGCCACTAGGGGGCAAAGTGGGGTCTGTCCCTGGTGCCACTGCAGAGGGGAATGGGGAAATAGGCACCAGGGGCAGGGGAGGCCATGGAGGTGCTGCAGTGGAAGGCAGGGCTCTGGGTGCTGCATCCTGCCCTCCCTCCTGGGGATGCATCCGTGATTTAGACCTTCAACCCTTGGGGTGGACTCTCCTGGGGTCATTGACAGGCTTCACACAGGGGCAGGCAGGTGACGCGTCTTGGCATGGTGACATGGCCAAGGCTTCCCACAATCTAGAAGCAACTGTCACCTACTGGCCAGACCTGCCCCGCCCAGTGACACACACACCCACACAGGCCTGGGATAGATCCATTTATTGCAACAATCGTGAAAATCAGACAGTGGCGGTCAGGGAGAAAGCCCGCCTTCCTCCTTCCCCTCTTCTCAGCCAGGAATACAAAGTCCCCAAACAGCCCCAAAGAGTGTGTAGAATCCGGTGACTGTATGGTACCAGCGGCCAAGCTTCAGGGCTGTCATGCGCAGAAACAGGACCCCACAATGGGGAGGGGAGAGCTGAGTTGTGACTTCTGACCTCCAAATCATTGTTTGCTAGTGCTGGGGGGATATATCTGCCATCCTGATCCCTTGGACCTTGTGGAGGGGGACATTTCTTCCCTCTGATCCCTCGGACTTTGTGGAGGGGGACATCTCGGCCCCTCTGATCCCTCGGACCTTGTGGAGGGGGATATCTCGGCCCCTCTGATCCCTCGGACCTTGTGGAGGGGGACATCTCGTCACCCCCCAATACTGGCGTCTAGTGGGGGGGGGCATCTCTGGCCCCCCCCATCAATCGCGTCAAGTGGTGGGGGGCATCTCTGCCCCCCCCCGATCAATGGCGTCTAGTGGTGGGGGGGCATGTCTGGCCCCTCCCTCGATAAATGGCGTCTAGTGGTGGGGGGAGGCATCTCTGACCCCCCCCGATCCCTGGCGTCTAGTGGGGGGGAGCATCTCTGGCCCCCCCATCCCTGGCATCTAGTGGTTGGGGGGGCAACTCTGGCCCCCCCAATCCCTGGTGTCTAGTGGTGGGGGGCATCTCTGGCCCCCCTGATCCCTGGCGTCTAGTGGTGGGGAGGCATCACTGGCCCCCCATCCCTGGCGTCTAGTGGTGGGGGGCATCTCTGGCCCCCCCGATCCCTGGTGTCTAGTGGGGGGGGCATCTCTGGCCCCCCTGATCCCTGGCGTCTAGTGGTGGGGAGGCATCACTGGCCCCCCATCCCTGGCGTCTAGTGGTGGGGGGCATCTCTGGCCCCCCCAATCCCTGGTGTCTAGTGGTGGGGGGCATCTCTGGCCCCCCTGATCCCTGGCGTCTAGTGGTGGGGAGGCATCACTGGCCCCCCATCCCTGGCGTCTAGTGGAGGGGCGGCATCTCTGGCACCCCCATCCCTGGCGTCTAGTGGTGGGGGGGCATCTCTGGCGCCCCCATCCCTGGTATCTAGTGGTGGGGGGACATCTCTGGCCCCCCCGATCCCTGGTGTCTAGTGGTGGGGGGCATCTCTGCCCCCCTTTGATCCTTGCCGTCTTGTGGGGGGGGAATCTCGGCCCCCCCCGATTCCTGGTTTCTAGTGATGGGGGGCATCTCTGGCCCCCCATCCCTGGCGTCTAGTGGTGGGGGGGCATCTCTGGCCCCCCCGATCCCTGGTGTCTAGTGGTGGGGGGCATCTCTGCCCCCCCTTGATCCTTGCCGTCTGGTGGGGGGGGGAA